CAAGCCAGTTGTCTTGTGAACCAATCAGTCTACCAACCAGCCAGTCATCTTATGAGCCCATCAGCTTACCAACAAGCTATTCATCTTGTGAGCCCATCAGCCTACCAACGTGCCAGTCATTTTGTGAACCAATCAGCCTCCCAATCAGCAATCCCTCTTTTGAATAAATCAGCCAACAATCCATCTTGTGAGCCAAGCAGCTAGCTATCAACCTACCAACCAGCCATTCACCCTGTAAGCCAGTCATAGGCAACTAGCAAGGAGCCAGACATCAGTGTTACTGGAAGTCTACACCAGTTGTTTTGTGGATTAGCAGGTAAACTGCAGGCTTTTAGCATTGACTTTTGTTTGGATTTTCCCATCTATTTGTATTTAGTTCACAACTGAATATTTATATCATAAGGGGCTGTTCATGTGAATGGCCCATTCTCCCAGATGGTCTTGGTTTTAATGTTCAATAACTTCAGTAACTTATGTTAAGTACAATTACACTGCCCTTTAGGGCTAGAATGCACAAGAACTCCCCACAAAATTTAAGGCATCCCGTCTGTTTATAAAAATAATAATCTTATATTGCACCAAATCCATCAAAGATGTTCAGGGCACTTTCCAGTAACTAACCAAATAAATAAAAACAAATAATTTAATCACATAAAAGCTTTCTACAATTTGTTACAAGTTAATATCAATAAGAAAACAATCACATTAGCATTATAACCTAAGACCAAAATAAGGAAGCAAGATACATCCTTAAATGGCATATAAATTTGTAAAAAAAACAAAAATGGCTCTGAAATTGCTGATTTTGTTAACAAGATTTTGCATTTTTCCTTCCATCTTTTGCTCAGGAGAAATGCCAATGGTCACTTTACAATGAGCAGGCTTCACGGACAAGAAGGTAAAAAATTAAGTCTTTTAGGTAAACCACTTCATCTTTTGGGCAAAGGCAAATATTTACCCCAGGAGATTAGTAGATCACTTTGATCGTTTGTTGAGTTTATATCTTGATTGAAGTATAGATAATGAGCTTTAGTTTCATGACACATTTTCAGCCAACTCAATTTCACATCAAATGGCATTTTAAGTTGGACATTTTTCTTAAGTACGAATTGAAGTGTGACTCATAAGGCCACAAATAGTTAGAGAAGTTTGAACTGAGAACTCATCTTAGAGAAACATGTGCATAATTTATTCAAATATGTCTGGCTTTCTCAAGAAGTGAGTACTTTCTAAACTTAAAATTTGAGAGCCATGGAACATAACTAACAAACCACTTAACTCCAAAAAGCACAGGGGTAACGCTCAAATATGTGACCCACTCTGCTAAAAAGGTATTAAGGGACATTGTGCTATTTCACACCAAGGGCTCTTTTAGGTGGACAGTACTTTCGCAATTCATACAAGAAACCTAACTGCTGCTATGGAAATCAAGAGACTTTCTTCTTGGCTGATTTCTTTTTCCACTTCCTGTGTTTAAAGGGCTTTATCTCTGAGAGCAATTCTGTTAATGTGTATAATATGACTATGCAAAAATCAATATATCTCCAGATTGCTAAACGCCACAGGGTTCAAACCTACACCAAATTAAAGCTTTTAATGTAACCAATTCAAATGTGTATGTAACTCATTTGAAAAAAATGTCCCATTATACCGATTTTCGTGGAGCTGGTCAGATATTTCCCATAGCTGTATAATTTTAGATTTTTGTAGCAAAGATACTTTGGCTGCACACACCAATAACACGGGACAAAGTTTAAACAACTGCTGAGGAAGTGCTCTGAGTTTTCATTAGTAACCTGATAATCAATACAAAAATAATTTTAAAATCTTTCAAAGGTTGGCATACTCTTGGGGTTCAAAAAGAAGTTTTGACATCTTTAAGAAAGACGTTAAACACACCTAGGGTCTCCCCAACCCCATTTTATGTCACCTCATTGATGCAGAGCCTAACACGATTCAAGCTATTAAGCCTATGCTTTGTGAATATTAGAGTTCCAATTAGAGTTCCGCCGCTAAAATGCTGCAGACTTGACAGGTGGTTGGGTGATCAGGGGATTTGTTTAAGGTTCAAAGAAGCCTGCTTTTGAGTTTGCAATTTGAGATCAAATTCGGGGAAGTTTAAGCAGAATGGTGCAGTTCACTATTTGAATGTCTGATGATTACAAAGAGGTCTTAAAACTGCTTCACTTCTCTCATCACTTCATCAGGTAGCACTTCCAGCTGTGGGATCCATGCCATCGACGGATGGGTTTTGGGAGATTGAGGGCAAGATAACCCTGGCAGCTTTGTACATCAGATAAAGTCCCTCTCGTTGAAGATAGGTGTCGCTTGGAGATTGCACAGATGTCCAGAGGACCATGGGAGGACTTGAATTAGATTCTGTGGGGAAAAACAAAAAAAATACTAAGTTTATTATTATTATCATTATTTATTTCTGGTTATGGCACCAAGAATTCCTCAGACGCACCCCACTCACTGTAGCTCTCAAGCCTGAAATAACCTGTGTAGAGGAGATAGTGAGAAGCAGTTACAGTTTTAGAGGTGGGAGGAAAACCCCAGAGGAATATTCTGGGTAAAAGCCATCAGGTAGGGACTGACAACCCAATGCGGGTGGACCGAGCCAGGAATCGAACGCCGACCGCAGAGGTGGAAAGCGAGGACAGAACCAACCTGACCAATTAGGTGATGCTCTGCTTCAGAGCACATTTGATTGCAACCTGTAGTTTGCGTGACCTTGGGAGAAAAAAATTTCTTTTCTTGTGGAATTTTTAAAGCTGAAGGCAAAACTCACCAACTCACTTATGAAGATATTTTATACTGGATGTCAGACAACTGGACGATTTACCAAGTCATCCATTATTACAACTCAATTGTTAAAGGTGTGAACATGCCAGAGTTTGGGCCATATAACAGCTTGTGGCTCAATGTGTTTGGGCACATTTGCATGTGTTGCATTACGTTGCAACTCGACTCACTGGGCATGGCATGCATCTATGCACAGGTGCCTTGGCTGCACCGATGATCAGTTTGCTAGTGAGCCAGTCTGGGAAACATCAAATCGGTCCCCCAATCCTTTCTCTTTTCTTAATTTGGAGAAAAGGTGTGGGTAATGTGACTGTAAAGCACAAGCACACTCATTACGAGTCAAACTGTCTAAATCGACAATTTGTTCCAGTGGTCGGGTTGTCTGTCCATTTGAGGCACGGATGGTCACGTTGTCTCAATGGTCGAGTTGTCCCAAGTCGAGTGGGCAAACGGTCAAGTTGTCTGAGCCCCTTTAGATTGCACAAATTCTTACCACTGAAGCTTGAGAAATAAATGAGGAAAACTGGATTTGTTAGAGTGCTGTTGTGTCCTCAATTTGTTGTCTGATTATGACATTTCAAGTAACAGTTAGTTTAGGGGCTTATGCTTCATCAAAGCTCATTTTTGCCAAGATCATATTGCCAGCCGCCATCCACAGGTGAAGGAATATGTAGCAAGGGCGTGGGAATGAATTGGTCACATGGCTGATTAATATGCAAAAAACCTACAGAGCAAATGACTCCATGGGAAATCTGCTACTCCCAAATTTGGAAAGAATGCTGCATTTTTTCATGCTTGAATGTTAGTCTCAGAGAAGTCACTTGCTGCAAAATTGTTGACTTATGATAGGCTCTATAGGTCTGCTGAAAAACATTTCCAGCTTTGTCAAACGTTACCGTTGCAAATCGCAACTTCCCAAAACAACCAAAATGGAAATAAACGTGTAGCATCTTAAAAAGGTAAAAAAATCGGTGGTAAACTGCCGTGCCATCTGATCGTCCTAAATGCAACACATGGCCAAATTTCACATAATTCTACAAGAATTATTCAGCAGAATAAAAACAGGTTTTTATTTACTTACTCCAGTCTAAGCATGCAATGCAGGCATCAAAGCGCTAGTGGATGATTAATTTCAGCAAGCTTTGCTTCAGCCTTCGGGACTAGGTGCAAATGTTCCCGTTCGGATTGTCCAAAGACAACTGATGATGTCCAACCAACGCTCCCTGCCATGAAGCTCGGCTGAAGACCAGACGACAAATGACATGAATGAAAAGATGTTGGTGGTTATGCATTTGTTATGCTGAAGAGGAAGATATCATGTGACGATAGAGGGAGGTGTGGCGCAAGAAATTTGGGGGGTGGACAGGAAACGTTTAGTTGGCTACGGGGAAAGAAAACGAATACAACGTACAAGTCAGTGTTAGAGGCGAATACAAGGCGTTTAAACCCTGGGCACTCATTACATCGACGTTAACTGAATGATACTTCGACTGAGAAAGAGACCAATTCTTTTGTTGAATTCTTTTGTTCAGTCTCCCCTAAACAATAAAAAGATTGGAGGCTTACGGAGGATTAGACGCCGCTATCTTTCGTTACGCTTGAGTGAACAACAATGGGGCGAATTGAAGCAGAAAATCTCGAAAAACTCGCCTTTAAAAGCATTTTAGGCAACAAAACGATATTTTTTGCAGAGGAAATTGCAAAACAAATCTACCTGTAGTTTCAAAATTCAAAAATTTGCCCGAATAAAAAAGTTGGCTTTTCAGGACAGGCTGGGTCCACGCTGAAACTTTCTCCCGCTCGCCGTTGGTGGCGCTATAACATTGAAAGTGCATGTACGTACGATGCGGTTGATGATGTACGTGCACAGTGCTCGCGTCAATGGGAACCACTGATATAGTTATTTCTCTAGCATAGCGCACGCCGTATGGTTATGCACAATGCGCATGTTCCTTGGGAACGCCGAAATGGCCAAATTCTGTAGCTCGCTGTGCTGTATACATGTATGCACGATAGAGCGTGTACAAAAATGGCCATATCGGCGGTCCAAATCGGATTTTCTGAACGGTCCAAAACGTTGGTTACCCGTTTTTGTGTTAGTTTCAGGTTAAGCAGGCGGGAACCAGTATTGCTTGGAAAAGTTTGGCAGTGTTCTTACGAAAAAGTAGTAAAACAAACTGTTTTGCTCGCGAGGAAAATAAACAAATAAAAACTCCTGTACAAGCTCAGATAGTCTGATCAATTTTGGAAGGAGGTTTTGTTGCAAATATAAAAAAAACCAGGTTATTTAGGATTTGCTTGAAGCAGGATGATGGAAGTAGCATGGAGGTAGAAATAGAGTACGTATTTTGTCTAATGTAAAGAGCAAAATAATTATTATTGCTTTTGATAATCCGAGAAATTATAGAAAAGAGCAGGTTGTGAGCCCCCTGCCCCCGTTACAGAGCCCCACCCTCACCGCTTAATTGTTACTGCACTCAGAATACACAGGATAAACGAAAATTCTTTTTCTTGGTCCGCTCATGAAATTAAACTGAACGAATGAAGGGACTTTGACTGTCTTTGCTATAGCGCCACCAACGTCAATTGGGAGAAAGTTTTTACGAGGAACCCACCAGTCCTGAAAAGCCAACTTTTTATTCCGTGCGAGTTTTTACATTTTGAAACTATGGGCGGGTTTATTATGTGATTTCCTCTGCAAAAAATATCATTTTGTTGCTTTACGTGCTTTTAAAGGCGAGTATTTCGAGATTTTCTGCTTCAATTCTCCCCATTGTTGTTCACTCAAGCGTAACGAAAGATAGCGGCGTTTAATCCTCCGTAAGCCTCGAATCTTTTTATTGTTCAGGAGAGACGGCACAAAGGAATCCAACAAAAGAATTGGTCTCTTTTTCAGCCGAGGTACCATTCTGTGTACGTCTGTGGAAGGGGACATGAGTGTGAAAAACGGCTCGTATTCGCCTCCATTTCCTTGTTAGGAAAGACCGTGGGTTCCTTTTTCATTCTCCCCTATTCCTTTCGCGCCACACCTTTCCTCCTCTCTTTCTATTGGCTCCTGTCCATCACGTGTGCTGCAAGGACCAATTGGTATTGCGTATATTCCTATCATTTCGTCGGCGAGTTTTCATCCAAACAGTACTATCAGACTGTCGGAGTCCCAGTGTTGCAAACAACGTGTGCATTTACACCTAACTTTGACGCTCAGAATGTACAAGATCTGATCATATCTCGATGCAGTTTCTTTAATATTTCTTCCAAAATTCTGTATCATCGTCTAGTATGAACTGGCTACTGTAAGTACTGACCTCAAAAACAGTATTTCCAAGGGAAACCTATTAATTTTTTTTCCTCAAGAAAAAACTGGGTGTGGCACATTTAAATCAAATTCCTCGTTGTCACTGACTTTTAGCCTTGAGTTTATTTTTCATACTAATTGCTAGTTTAGTCCAATCGACTCTTAAGCTTTCTCAAAACGTTTCCCAGACAAAAATGTTGCATCCTGAGTCCACTTCAGCAGTCGTGTACAAAGTCTATGGGGAGTGAAGAGAATTTTCCAAGTATTTCCTAACAACATTGGAAAATGTTTCTCAGTCCACAATTCATGTCTTTCCAGGATTTCTTTGATGACTGACTTTTCTTGAGGTGATATATGATGAGAAAAGTGGAGGCAGGATGCAATATTCTTGTCCCACTTCCAAACAATTTTTTAAAAATTTAGCAAATTAGCAGGTGCTTTCTTTTTCAATTTTCACAAGTGGTGAACTCAAATGTTTGTTCATGTGGAAAATATTTTTTTTTTTAAAATGAACAGCTTCAAATACAGAATCGAATTGTCCGTTTATTTTCGGACAATCATTCTCATAATGTGAATCAAATTTAACCTGAGACAGACGGACACTTGAGATCAAATAGATGCACTTTTTGCCTTTAATTTGTCAAACTTAAACGGTGCAATGACCTTTGTCAAGTAAGAAACTTTAAAAACTCATTTAACTGTAAAAATATTGAATAATTTATTGTGGCCAAATTAAATGAAAGATCAATATTACAGCCTCATGTGCTGAAGAAAACTATCAAATCTAAATTCAATACATAGAATTCAAAGTTAACTCAAATATTTCTCTATTTTCTCCCCTTCATCTACAATGAGTCCATCTTCAAATTGGATCCTTTCCGTACTCCAACATCTGAGTGATCTTCAAGCTACTACTGCCTTCAATGAGAGGGACCAATTGATGTATAACGTTGCTGAAGACATCTTGAACTCAGTCTCGTAATGAGGAGACACTGAAGATGACAGTGGACAGCCAAGCTGAAATTCCTACCTGGACAAGAGAAATAAAGCAAATTGAAGCACTTTCAAATCTGAAGACAATATTTTCAACTGAACTCTATTTTGATCGAATAGGAGATATACATTTGATCAAAGATTTTACTTTGTCCATCAACTTGACAAGTTTCCTTCACAAAGGCAACAGTTGACTTTTCAATGCATTCTGCAATAAATGACTGTAAAACACCTTGGCTAAATAGTTTGAAAAAAGATTGAAAATAGTTGCCCTTACAAATCCTTCCAACGGGACATGGGACTCCTGCAATGGATTCTAAGTTGTGAAATCACCGACAGGATTCAGGAGTGAACTTCAGCATGAACTCTAACTTTCAAGATTGATTTATTCCAAGATTTGCTGGTAACATTTTGTAGAATGAAAAAAAAGTTTGGTTTTGGAGTGTCTGGTGCACTCCTGGTATGTTGAATGATTCTTATACTGAGGTCCAAAAACTTGCTCCAATTTCAGATTTAAACTTGACTAGCCTTTCCATAGCAGTGACTCTATTCCCCAAGCCTTAAGTAACTCAACAGCAATTGCTAATGCATGCACAGTCCTTGTGGCATAAAACGGTTTAGACAATTTCTCAAGTATAGCTTTTTAACTTGGCATGTCAATAACTTTGTACATAAGTCCTCGCAGCATTCTTTAAACTTGAACTGAAATTGGAGAAGTTTTCGACCTCATCTGTACTCCAACATTTACTTCCAAGTTGAGACTTTGCCAGCTGATGTTCTTTGACCTTTAAGAAATGTTTCATTTCCAACTCTGTCGTGCCATGTCAAAGTTGGATCTTTTTAAGGTGCAGACAATGAAAATTACGAAAAATTTTAGTCATGCTTTGAATCTCATTGCCCAAAACTGTTTATATTTGAAACGTAGATTGATGAATGAACTTTAAACAAATCGTCACATTTTGTACCAACAGCTTACACATTTTTTTTATGTAAAAGTTGTAAAATGTTATGCGCCCGAAATTGAAAATCAAAATAATGAAAATAGCACAAAGATTGCTTGCCTCAACATCAACTGGCAACTTCTCAACTAAGTGGTCAACCAAGGATATTTGTAACCTGTTACTGAAAGTCGAGTCTATTTGTTTACAAACATGCCAAGAAAAAAATCCAAGGCATTTTGAAATCCAAATAATTGCAACCAAACTCTTGACGCAAATTCAAATCAGGAGTCTTGAAAGGACTTCACTATTTTATCAAATATGTGAGCAAAACAAGTTTGAGCGCCATCTTAAAATGCGCATTGACAAAAACTCAACTTTTCAACAATGGAACAGCCAGTAGGTAATTTCAAAGATGAATATGGGCTCTAAAAAATATGATTTCAGACTCGCTAAAA